TGAGCAATAGTTGTACCGCTTGAGCGGCTAGTTGTACCGCCTGAGCAGTTAGTTGTACCGCCTGAGCAGTTAGTTGTACCGCTTGAGCGGCTAGTTGTACTGCCTGAGCAGCTAGTTGTACCGCCTAAGCAGCTAGTTGCACCGCCTGAGCAGTTAGTTGTACCGCCTGAGCAGTTAGTTGTACCGCCTGAGCAGTTAGTTGTACCGCTTGAGCGGCTAGTTGTACTGCCTGAGCAGCTAGTTGTACCGCCCGAGCAGTTAGTTGTACCGCTTGAGCGGCTAGTTGTACCGCCTAAGCAGCTAGTTGTACCGCCTGAGCAGTTAGTTGTACCGCTTGAGCGGCTAGTTGTACTGCCTGAGCAGCTAGTTGTACCGCCTGAGCAGTTAGTTGTACCGCTTGAGCGGCTAGTTGTACCGCCTAAGCAGCTAGTTGTACCGCCCGAGCAGTTAGTTGTACCGCCTGAGCAGCTAGTTGATCCGCCTGAGCAGCTAGTTGTACCGCCTGAGCAGCTAGTTGTACCGCCTGAGCGGCTAGTTGTACCGCCTGAGCAGGTAGTTGTACCGCCTGAGCAGCTAGTTGATCCGCCTGAGCAGCTAGTTGTACTGCCTGAGCAGGTAGTTGTACCGCCTGAGCAGCTAGTTGTACCGCCTGAGCAGCTAGTTGTACCGCCTGAGCAGTTAGTTGTACCGCCTGAGCAGTTGTACTGCCTGAGCAGCTAGTTGTACCGTCTGAGCAGCTAGTTGTACCGTTTGAGCAGCTAGTTGTACTGTCTGAGCAGCTAGTTGTACCGCCTGAGCAGCTAGTTGTACCGCCTGAGCAGCTAGTTGTACTGCCTGAGCAGTTAGTTGTACTGCCTGAGCAGTTAGCTGTACCGCCTGAACAGCTAGTTGTACCGCCTGAGCAGCTGGTTGTACCGCCTGAGCAATTAGTTGTACCGCCTGAGCATTAGTTGTACCTGGCGCCTGAGGAGTTAGTTGTACCGCCTGAGCAGTTAGTTGTACCGCCTGAGGAGTTAGTTGTACCGCCTGAGCAGTTAGTTGTACCGCCTGAGGAGTTAGTTGTACCGCCTGAGAGTAGTTGTATCGCCTGAGCAGTTAGTTGTATCCGCCTGAGAAGTTAGTTGTACCGCTTGAGCAGCTAGTTGTATCGCCTAGAAAGTTATTTGTTACCGCTAGTGTTATACGTTAGAGTTTGTATCGCCTGAGCAGTTACGTTGTACCGCCTGAGCAGCTTAGTTGTACCGCCTGAGCAGTTAGTTGTACCGCCTGAGCAGCTAGTTGTACGCGCCGTGACGCTGAGCAGTTAGTTGTACCGCCTGAGCAGCTAGTTGTACCGCCTGAGCAGCTAGTTGTACCGCCTGAGCGAGCTAGTTGTATGCCCTGAGCAGCTAGTTGTACGCCTGAGCAGCTAGTTGTATCGCCTGAGCAGCTAGTTGTATCGCCTGAGCAGTTAGTTGTACCGCCTGAGCAGTTAGTTGTACCGCCTGAGCAGTTAGTTGTACCGCCTGAGCAGTTAGTTGTACCGCCTGAGCAGTTAGTTGTACCGCCTGAGCAGCTAGTTGTACCGCCTGAGCAGTTAGTTGTACCCCTGAGAGCTAGTTGTACGCCTGAGCAGTTAGTTGTACCGCCTGAGCTAGTTGTACGCCTGAGCAGTTAGTTGTACCGCCTGAGCAGCTAGTTGTACCGCCTGAGCAGTTAGTTGTACCGCCTGAGAAGCTAGTTGTACCGCCTGAGCAGTTAGTTGTACCGCCTGAGCAGCTAGTTGTACCGCCTGAGCAGCTAGTTGTACCGCCTGAGCAGCTAGTTGTACCGCCTAGAGCAGTTGTTAGTTTGTACCGCCTGAGAGTTAGTTGTACCGCCTGAGCGTAGTTGTACCGCCTGAGAGCTAGTTGTACCGCCTGAGCAGTTAGTTGTACCGCCTGAGAAGCTAAGTATTGTACCGCCTGAGCAGTTAGTTGTACCGCCTGAGCAGCTAGTTGTACCGCCTGAGCAGCTAGTTGTACCGCCTGAGAAGCTAGTTGTACCGCCTGAGCAGTTAGTTGTACCGCCTGAGAAGCTAGTTGTACCGCCTGAGCAGCTAGTTGTACCGCCTGAGCAGTTAGTTGTACCGCCTGAGCAGCTAGTTGTACCGCCTGAGCAGCTAGTTGTACCGCCTGAGCAGCTAGTTGTACCGCCTGAGCAGCTAGTTGTACCGCCTGAGCAGCTAGTTGTACCACCTGAGCAGCTAGTTGTACCGCCTGAGCAGCTAGTTGTACCGCCTGAGAAGCTAGTTGTACCACCTGAGCAGCTAGTTGTACCGCCTGAGAAGCTAGTTGTACCACCTGAGCAGCTAGTTTGCTAGAACTATTGTACCCTGAGCAGCTAGTTGTACCCTGAGAGTTATTGTACCCCTGCAGCAAGCTAGTTGTACCGCCTGAGAAGCTAGTTGTACCACCTGAGCAGCTTAGTTTGTACCGCCTGAGAAGCTAGTATGTTACCACCTGAGCAGTTGTACCGCCTGAGCAGCTAGTTGTACCGCCTGAGAAGCTAGTTGTACCACCTGAGCAGCTAGTTTGAGCACTCCTTGTTCATCCCGTCAGCGGTAACGCAAAAAAAAAAGATTACAGAGGTTTTATCATTCCCCAGCAGGCACAGGCAGGTATATCACAAAAAATATATTAAAGTAATTTGATATATTACAATTTCTTCCTATAGCTAATGCATACAATACGGTATGGAGTTATAACTTCAAAAAAAAATATTACTACTAAAAAACTTGTGATTATTAATTTGAAGTTTCCTTTAAATTAATTAATTAATCATCTAGTCAACGTAAGTAATGGATACAGTCCCAAGATTTCAGATACAAACACCGAAATGTTTTATTTATTCTTAAGTGTTTGTATCGAGGTATCTCTGAAAGGTTGAATGTTTGGACACTGAGAGTAGAGTTCCAGCGAACAATGGTTCACACAATTTATATTTGGTGCCGCTGGTATGTCTATACAACTCGTACTGCCAGACACTTTTACTCTAGCTGTAACAACTATTAATCTACTGATCTTGTTACTTTCTCCATAGATATGTTTAACTTAACCTATTTTATTGTGATGGATTGTTGATTTGTTCATCCCTATCTGTACTGCTCAATATTCCTCAACTTGTTTGCTAGTTCTATTCTGACAATATTTTTTTTAAGATTCTGTTTGAGAAATCAAAATATAAGCAATGCGGAGAGTTAGTTACAATTATCCTGTGTAGGATCGCAGTTTCCACAAGCTTGAGAACAACAAGTATAGCAAACAGTTCCGTTTGGAAGGTGGAAGCCCAGTTATTAATTCTAATACACCTCTGTATTATAGTATCTTCAGGCCGGTAACAATATCAGTACTTCTCGCCCTCTCACTGTCAGAGTTAAGACCAACATCAAGGTAGTTTGTGTGGTATTTTTTTTTTTTTGTCTACAAGACATTTATTTGTTCGAGAGCACTAATTTAAGAACGTAATCGAAGTTGAGGATCGTGCTTGATTAGTTTCTTGGGATGATAGGTGGGCATAGTGATATCAGAAGCTGTTGTCTGAATGATATAGTTCATGTAGTCCAAACGTTTTAGTGTATGGCTCGTATCAGAATTTGTCTTGAATAATTTGTCCATGAATTACAGGTTCCATTAATTCTCTGGAACCAACATTGTTTTGATCACCACACAGAAGCTTCAGTCCTGTCATGACAGTGATTTCTCATATTCTGACAGCAACACCAGGTATACCTAATGTTTCCCTTAAGACTGAGGTACGCACCATCCAGCCCTGGGATGTGACGGTTTTCCTATTCTTTGATAAGTTAACAGTCTCTGAAGCTTAGAGCGGAGCATATTGATTCGTCGGGCGTTACAGGCTATGCTAAATAATTGTATCCGGCCCCTCTATGTTTTGTTCCTTTTAATATATATATATATATATATATATATATATATATTATATATATATTATATTAATATATATATATATATATGCACATGTATATAAACTCTTTCTCATCTTCCTCTGTTATTCTCTGTACTGGACTGAAGACGCCACTGGCTGACGAAATGTTTCACAATAAAGATACCCAAATGTCGTGCCGAATAGGTAAAATTGGTCAATTGGCAAGAACTAATTTAAAATTAAGTCCTTTCTAAAATTTTCTCTTATACGTTTAGAGATATATTTTTTTTCATTTATGTTAATGTAAAAATTAATAATTTTGTACCAAAAGACCCTTAGAAAACTTACCTAACCTTATTATAACAAGCGCAGTTTAATTTTGTCAAATCCAACTAAATATATTTTAGATAAGTTGACAATAATTTAATAATAAACAGACACAATGAAATATAGTTTTTTTTCGTTAGGTTCAGAATGATTTTGCGAAATTATTGTATACACAAATTTTCGCTTGCCTTATTCGGCAAGAAGAGCGTTGGTATATAGGTCAAAATCGCAAGATATATGATATATATATATATATATATATATATATATATATATATATATATATATATATATATATAATTGTAACCACGAACGAGTGGTATTGATCAATAACAACACTGCGCTAGCCAAGGATTCGAACCCATGTTATACTGGCCTGCCTCATGGTAAGCGAGAACTACATGACGCTTTAAACCACAGGACCACCCAACCCTACAAAGAATGCTCGTGAAGCTAATACACCAAACAGGGATGAGAATGAAATTAGCTTAGAAGCTCCCACACCTCCGTATGCTCTCGGATGGCGGCTCAACAGCTAGCATTGCTGGCTGCGCCATTCTTTGTAGGGTTGGGTGGTCCTGTGGTTTAAAGCGTCATGTAGTTCTCGCTTACCATGAGGCAGGCCAGTACAACATGGGTTCGAATCCTTGGCTAGCGCAATGTTGTTATTGATATATATATATATATATATATATATATATATATATATATATATATATATATATATATTATATGTGTGTGTGTATACATAAGATATTCTTTTCCAGGCATTGGTGGGAGCGGTGTATGTGGTGGCAGTCGGAGCGCGACCGTCAAAGAAGCTTCCAACGACACAAGATGCAGTGCAAGTATCAGATAGCCCAGCCAGTGGTGGGTCGTCTGTGTCGTCGTACCTCACACTGGAAAAGAGAAATGCCCCGGAAACGTTATTACCCACTACTACCCTCGTCTCTGCACACTTGGTGACACCCGAACACACCACAGAGCCCCAGGCAGATCCAGAACCTCAGCTAACACCAGAACCCCAGCCCGAATCTGAATCCTCTTCGTCAGAACCCTCCCTGACTGTCCTACTCGAAGTATCTCCGACTGAAGTAAGTTTCGATCACGCTCATGCGTCCCCATTATAGATATCAAGATCTAAATCTAGTATTATTAAATTATCATGAGTCATACAGTGTCTGGTGATGGGGGGGTAATCAGGTCTGGAAAACTAATGCCAAATTACCAAGTATGAAATAAATGACATTGAATGCACTCTGCCGTTATTTCCACAGGATGTAGTGATGGACAAGCCTCCCGTTGAAAATTCGGTCGAAGATGCTGAGGAAGAAACCATTCCTCACGAACCGTCTCCGAGAGACGGAAGCTCTCCAGCACCGAACGACTTCCCGACTCACGATGACTCTTCCGAGGAACACGAGTCTCAGAGAAAGAACGAGAACTACTCGCGTGTCGAAGAGCGTGAAGCTGAACATCATGCAGACCCTGAAGTTGAACGTCACGAAGAACACAGAGATGAATATCATTCAGAACCTGAAGTCGAACATCACGAGGAGCCTGAAGTTGAAGACGTAGAATCTGAACATCATGCGGAAGCAAACCTTGAAGACCATGCAGAGCCTGAAGCTGAACACCATGCAGAACCTGAAGCTGAACACCATGAAGGGCCTGAAGCTGAACACCATGCAGAGCCTGAAGCTGAACACCATACAGAACCTGAAGCTGAACACCATGCAGAGCCTGAAGCTGAACACCATGCAGACCCTGAAGCTGAACACCATGCAGAGCCTGAAGCTGAACACCATGCAGAGCCTGAAGCTGAACACCATGCAGAGCCTGAAGCTGAACACCATGCAGAGCCTGAAGCTGAACACCATACAGAACCTGAAGCTGAACACCATGCAGAGCCTGAAGCTGAACACCATGCAGAGCCTGAAGCTGAACACCATGCAGAGCCTGAAGCTGATCATGCAGAGCCTGAAGCTGAACACCATGCAGAAACTGAAATTGAACATCATGCAGAACCTGAAGCTGAACATCATGCAGAACCTGAAGCTGAACATCATGCAGAACCTGAAGCTGAACATCATGCAGAAACTGAAATTGAACATCATGCAGAACCTGAAGCTGAACATCATGCAGAAACTGAAGCTGAACATCATGCAGAACCTGAAGCTGAACATCATGCAGAAACTGAAGCTGAACATCATGCAGAACCTGAAGTTGAACATCATGCAGAAACTGAAGCTCAACATCATGCAGAACCTGAAGTTGAACATCATGCAGAAACTGAAATTGAACATCATGCAGAAACTGAAATTGAACACAATGTAGAACCTGAAGTTGAACATCATGCAGAAACTGAAGCTCAACATCATGCAGAACCTGAAGTTGAACATCATGCAGAAACTGAAATTGAACACAATGTAGAACCTGAAGTTGAACATCATGCAGAACCTGAAGTTGAACATCACGCAGAAACTGAAATTGAACACAATGTAGAACCTGAAGTTGAACATCATGCAGAAACTGAAATTGAACACCATGCAGAACCTGAAGCTGAACACCATGCAGAACTTGAAAATGAAAATCATACAGAACCTGAAATTGAACATCATGCAGAACCTGAAGCTGAACATAAAGTAGAGCCTGCCGAAGAACTTTATTCAAAGCCTGAAGTTGAACATGTAGAACCTGAAGCTGAACATCATGCAGAACCTGAAACTGAGCATCATGCAAAATCTGAAGCTGAACATCATTCAGAGACTGAAGCTGAACATCATGCAGAATCTGAAGTTGAACATCATGCAGAATCTGAAGCTGAACATCATTCAGAGACTGAAGCTGAACATCATGCAGAGCCTGAAGCTGAATATCATGCAGAATCTGAAGTTGAACATCATGCAGAACTTGTAAATGAAAATCATGCAGAACCTGAAGCTGAATATTATTCAAAATCTGAAGCTGAACATCATACAGAACCTGAAGTTGAACATGAAGAACTTAAAGTGGAAAATCATGAAGAACCTGAAAATGAAAATCATGCAGAACCTGAAGTTGAACATCATACAGGACCTGAAGTCGAACATCATACAGAACCTGAAGTCGAACATCATACAGAACCTGAAGTCGAACATCATACAGAACCTGAAGTTGAACATATACAGAACTGAAGTCGAACTCATCAGAACTGAGTTGAACATCATAGAACGAATGACACATACAGAACCTGAAGTCGAACATCATACAGAACCTGAAGTCGAACATCATACAGAACCTGAAGTCGAACATCATACAGAACCTGAAGTCGAACATCATACAGAACCTGAAGTCGAACATCATACAGAACCTGAAGTCGAACATCATACAGAACCTGAAGTCGAACATCATACAGAACCTGAAGTCGAACATCATACAGAACCTGAAGTCGAACATCATACAGAACCTGAAGTTGAACATCATTCAGAACCTGAAGTTGAACATGCAGAGCTTAAAGTGGAAAATCATGAAGAACCTGAAGTTGAACATCACGCAAAACTTGAGGCTGAACATAATTCAGAACCTGAAGCTGAACATCATACAGAACCTGAAGCATCTTCAGGGGTTGATAATACTGAACAAGAAGTCAAGACACACGAATCACTTGAAGAGAAGCCTGATGTAGAACCTGAAGTTGAACATTCAGAACCTGAAGTTGAACATTCAGAATCTGAAGTTGAACATTCAGAACCTGAAGTTGAACATTCAGAATCTGAACGTGAACATTCAGAATCTGAACGTGAACATTCAGAATCTGAAGGTGAACATTCAGAATCTGAAGATGAACATTCAGAACCTGTAGCTGATCATTCAGAACTTGAAACTGAACATAATGAATCTGAAGGTGAACATCATGAATCTGAAGGTGAACATTCAGAATCTGAAGGTGAACATTCAGAATCTGAAGGTGAACATTCAGAATCTGAAGGTGAACATCATGAATCTGAAGGTGAACATCATGAATCTGAAGGTGAACATTCAGAATCTGAAGGTGAACATTCAGAATCTGAAGGTGAACATCATGAATCTGAAGGTGAACATCATGAATCTAAAGGTGAACATTCAGAATCTGAAGGTGAGCATTCAGAATCTGAAGGTGAACATTCAGAATCTGAAACTGAACATCATGAATCTAAAGTTAAACTTTCTGAGCCTAGTACTGAACATTCTGAATCTAAAGTTAAGCATTCAGACCCTGAAGTTAAACATTCAGATCCCAGCGGAGAAGATTCAAAACCTGAAGTTCATCATACAGATTCTGAAGACCATGTTGAAGTAACTTCTGAAGCCGATCATACGAAACTTGAAGCCAGGACACATGAATCAGTTGAAGTCTCACCTGATACAGACCTTGAACCACAACCTGCGGCCAACCCTCATTCAGAACCTGAAGTCAACTCTCATTCAGAAGCTGAAGCCAACCCTCATTCAGAAGCTGAAGCCAACCCTCATTCAGAACTGAAGTCAACTCTCATTCAGAACCTGAAGTCAGCCCTCATTCAGAATCCAACCGGGAAGATGAAACTGAGAGGAAAGGAGCTGCTGAACATCAAAGACTAACTGAAGACAATAATGAGAACACAGATGAGAAACCAGAGAAACACACAAGTGGCAGTGACTCTTCAGTAGATCGAGATCGAATGGCCACTAGCAGCAGCGAGGTGGTCGAGGTGCGGGTTAAACCAGAGCGCCATAGCAGGGAAGGACGCTCAGAAGACGCTGACAAGGAGAGTAATGCTATACAGACAGTCTTAGAGCTAGAAGAGGCGTGTAAGGAAACTCTCGATGATACAATGACTAAGGAAGAACAGACAGTCTCAAATGCCCAGCTAGAAAATCTCCCCAAGATTATGTTAAAGTCACTTTTCAGAAATAGCCTTAATGAATCTGAGGAAGAAGACGGCGATTCTTCACTGACAGAGGATAACCATAAGGAGGTGAAGCACGATCTCTCAGCAGTGAACATCCGCAATGATTCCAAAGACGCTGCTCAGCATGCACATGAAGTTGGGGCAAAACCTTGCTTCTGCAAGGATCCTCCTGAATCGAAATTAGCTCTTGCGATGCTTGATTCAGTTAATGAAGAGACGCATAATAAGAATTCTGAAGATGATGATTATTTCCACGATAGAAATTCTGACCAAAATACACACACAAACAATGTCAGTGACGAGAGCGAGACTGAATTAAACAGTGAACATGATCAACCAAGCAACCACATCATAGGCAAATTGTTATCCTTGGACTCCAACATACAGACTGTAAACAGCAATGAAAAATCCAGTGAAAAAATTACAAACAAAAATTCCACTGAAGAAGAAAATAAAGAGGTCAATTCACTGGATGTGGCTGATAATGTGTCATCCTTGATGGTCAGCGATGATACGAAGGTAATTATGAAAGGAAGAAAAGAAATTGAAAAAGGAGAAGAAATAGATAGCACAAACTCATCAGAACAGAGCAACGAGAATGTTGACATTCTTGTAGGTAACACATCTCTTGAAGCAAAAGAACACAATAGCCAGGAGATAAAGCGAGAGGAGAACGATGCTGAAAAGACAGTGTCTATGAAGGGTAACATTAACAGCCTGATGGAAGAGGCAGACCACGAAGGTGACTCTGACGAAGATTCTGCCATGGAGCTTGCTGAGAATAATGAATATTCAGAGAACTCAACTCTTACAGGAGCAAATGTCAAACACACTCATGAAAATCTGCACGCGAACGTTCTTAGCGAAATGAACTCACGAGAGGAAAAAGATACAGGTACTGAGTCTAAGGAAGTCCTTGCTAGAGAAACAAAAGTTAATCCTGAGGATGAAACCCATGATTCCAGTGAGAGTTTGGAAGACAACTTGCAAACTGAAGTCGTGATCGAAGATGAATATGGCGAAGAAAACAATACTCATAAAGCTGGTAATGTCACACAACCTGAGGGTAAAGCCGAGTCCAATGATCACGGATCAAACACTGTAGAGAGTGTTAATCCATGGCTCAAGAGACGTGACCCTGAAGCTCAGTCAGATGCTCCCAAGAAACAAGGTGTAGCCGATGAGTTAATAAGTTTCAGTGACTGTTCTGCCGAGCATCAAGAAAGCACTGAACAAGAAGACAAGTTGAATGTTAAACCCAAGCCTAAGAAGGGGCTGCAAGCTGGAAAGAAACATGCACCGGATGTGACACATATTCCTGATACTAAACATTACGAAGGATACAGCACTGTAGCATTTCAGAACACAGAAGCTTTCACAAAACCTAAGACAGAGTTCAAAAATGAAGTGGAGGATCACTCTGAAGATGCTGCAGGTATTGAAAAGATGGCAGAAGTCATCATCATAGAAGGTTTTAATGCCGATGCACCAAAGAAAATGGAAATTACAGTAAGAGAATCAACACAACCAGAGTTTTCTGAAAATGTTACCACAAGTGAAACCGAGATGGAAGCAAAGCTTGATTCAGAGGTGGAGTTAGAAAGTGAGGAAACAATGGAATCAGAATTTAATGGTGAAGGAAACCAGAAATTAAAACCAGTAAAAGATTCAAAACCTAAAAACGAATTAAACTCATCCTCTGAATCAGAAACAGAGTCTGATCATGACGCAGAATCAGAGTCTGAACCTGAAGCAGAACAGGATACCAATCCCGAAGCAAATCCAAAATCTGAATCTCAAGCAGAACCAGAGAACGAACATGAGGTTGAACTTAACTCTGAAACTGAAGCTGAACGTGAGTCAAAGACTGAAGCGGACCACGAAACTGAGCCCGAAACAGATCATGAGACTGAGCTTCAAAGCAACACCAAACCAAACAGTGAAACAAATCATGAGTCTTCCACAGAAGCGGAACTGAAGTCTGGAGATTCAAAGCGTAACGAAGAGTACAGCAAGATGAAGGCCATGCCCCAAACACCAACCCACGAAATCGAAGATCAAGACCAAGCCGAGGCGCCACAATGATAGTACAGAGCTAGACTCTGGAGAGAGTGTAACAGAAAGTCACGAAGATCAAGACTCACAGGAGATACTAACCTTGCGGGATCTCGTTTTAGCAACAATGTCAGGCATCACCGTTGACCAGAACAGCGAGAGCTTTGTTACCGAGGAATCTCCGATGGTCACAGCAAACTGGGACACGGCGATAGGGTCTATATCAACCACAGTCGTCGAATTCAATACTCTGGAGCCAGAAGATGAAGGCAGTGGCGCTGGTAGTCCTGAAGACGAGGACAGTGGTGCTGGTAGTGTTGTGGTCGAGGAAGACAGTGGCTCGGAAGTAGAAAACATCAGTGTCGAGGATGAGGACAGTAGTGGTGGTGGTAGTGCTCACGACGTTGAGGACCCAGAAATAAAAGAAGTTTCATAGTCTCATCAGAGCCTCCTGGTCAATTAGATAATAAGATTTATAAACACACACACACATGCACACACACACACACACACACACACACACACACACACACACACACACACACACACACACACACACACACGCACACACACGTATCATATACGTATCTGTAAGTTTTAAATTAATTACTGTTTTCCGTTTTGAGATGAGAATGCTTTACCGTGTACAAATGCATGAACCATTTATATCTACATTGAGTGACAGAAAACTGCAGTCAGTTACTAGGCTTCGTCTCCCAGTTTTGGTCCATATGCATAGGACCGGGTCATAATTTATTCATTGGAGAGGACCAGGTCACCAGGTAGGTAAAACGTGAAGATATTTCCACCATCTGTTTAGCCCGATGGAGGACTAGGATAATCTGAAGGTCAACCTAAGTAGACTGAAGGAAAACCTGAAAAGCCTGAGTGAAGACCCATGTAGATTTAAGGAGGACGCATGTAGCCTGAGGAAGGATCTTGAATAGGCTATGGGAGGACTTAAGTAGCCTATAAAAGGACCTGAATAACCTGAGGGAGAATTCCCAGATATGCTCACAAGCACGCATTATTTTTTTTGAAGATCGCGATATACAAGAGACGAGAAATTGTACGTGACAAAGTCCTCCAGTAATAAGAGATTTCCTGTTGACATAGTACTTTCCACCTGCTGAGAAAAAAAAAAACGGGGTAATATACACACGAGAGAAAAGGATGGATGATAAAAAAGAAAACTGAACTGGGTTCCA